TACACTTAGACAAGATCTTTGCATTCATACATGGGTTAAAGACTCTTCAGTTCTCCAACCTTCTAACTTTTAATAATATATTTGTCTCAGGAAACCATCTAAGTTGCCCTGGTGTCTCGCTGCTACCACTACCCCCTAGTGGTAGTGGTAGCTACTACCCTGCTTCAACTCCCCCACCAAACTAGCTCAGTACCACCACCACCACCACCATTTTCAGCGTCACCACCACCTGCACCACCACCTGCACCACCACCTGCACCACCACCTGCAGCACCACCTGCAGTACCACCAACACACTACCACATATAAAATCTCTTCACCTTCTTTCCGCCTCTTGGCTTCACTGGAGGATTAACCTTCGCTTTCTAGTTGAAGTAATAGCCAACCACCATAGAGGGAAAATTGTACGCTATAAAAACCAATTTCGAGAACTCTAGAGAGAAAGAGAGGGAAGGGGGTGAAAGAGGGAAAGCATATCGGCGGCAGTAAAGACAAGAGGGAGGGAGGGAGAGAGAGAGAGGAGAGGAAGGGAGAGAGGAGGGAGAGAGAAGGGAGAGAGAGGAGAGAGAGAGAAGAGAGAGAGAGAGAGAGAGAGAGAGAGAGAGAGAGAGAGGGGAAGAGAGAGAGAGTGAGAGACGCGAGAGAGGGAAGAGGGAGAGAGATCGAAGAGGGAGAGGAGGGCGAGAGAGAGGAGAGAGAGAGGGGAGGAGGAGAGAGAGAGAGAGGAGAGGAGGAGGGAGAAGAGAGAGGAGAGAGAGAGAGAGGTGAGAGAGGAGAGGAGAGAGTGAGAGAGGGGCGGAGAGAGAGTGGAAGAGAGAGAGAGGAGAGAGAGAGGAAGAGAGAGAGAAGAGAGAGAGAGGTGAGAGAGAGGGGAGGAGAGAGAGAGGAGGAGAGAGAGAGAAGAGTGGAAGAGAGGGAGAGAGTGGAAAGAAGAGAGAGAGGGGAGAGGAGAGGAGGGGAAGAGAGAGAGAGGGAAGAGAGAGAGAGAGGGGAAGGAGAGAGAGAGGGAGCAGAGAGGAGAGAAGAGGGGAGAAGAGAGGAGCGAGGGGAAGAGAGAGAGGGAGAGAGGGAGGAGAGACGAGAGAGAGGGGAAGAGAGAGAGAGGGGAGAGAGAGAGAGAGGGGTGAGAGAGAGAGGCGAAGAGGAGAGAGAGGGGATGGAGAGAGAGAGGGGAAGAGAGAGAGAGAGAGAGAGGACGAGAGAGAGAGAGAGAGCGCGAGAGAGGAGGAGAGGGCGAGAGAGAGAGAGCAGGAAGGGAAGAGAGAGAGAGCGGAGAGAGGGAGGATGGAGAGAGGAAGGGAGCGAGAAGGGAGAGAGGGACAGAGGAGAGAGAGAAGAGAGAGAGAGAGAGAGAGAGAGGGGGAGAGAGAGAGAGAGAGAGTAAACGAACGAACGAACGGGATTGGATAAATAAAATAGAAGGGGAGAGAAGAAAGTGGTAAGAAGCAGTCATGTAGTATACACGGACTTCACAAAGGTATTTGATAAATGTTATTGTGGAGTGATAGCACATCAAATGAGGTCAGTAGGAATAACTGGTAAAGTCGAACTGTGGATATTAAATTTTTAGTCGAACAGAACACAAAGAGTAACAGTCAATCAAATAAAATCTAGTCCAAGCTCAGTTAAAAACTCTGTACCTCAGGGCACAGTCCTTGCTCCACTGCCTTTCCTTATTCTCATATCTGATACAGACTCAAATACAAGTCACAGCTGCGTGTCATCTTTTGCAGATGACACAAAAATCACCATGAAAGTTACTTCTGTTGAAGATACTAAAACATTATAAGCTGATATTAATAAAGTTTTCGACTGGGCTGCAGAAAATAGCATGATATTTAACAGTGATAAGTTCCAAAGAATGGGAACAGGAATAAAATGAGAGGGTAACGAGGAGAGGAATAACGCAAGAGAGAATGAAGACGAATGGGGGATAGTTGGTGATATTGAGAAGTGAATAAAGTAGCTAATTGGCAGACCTGAGTGGTAATAGGTGGTTGAGTGGTAGTGACGGAGTGTGTGTGTGTGTGTGTGTGTGTGTGTGTGTGTTTACTAGTTGTGTTTTTGCGGGGGTTGAGCTTTGCTCTTTCGGCCCGCCTCTCAACTGTCAATCAACTGTTTACTAACTACTTTTTTTTTTTTCTCCCACACCCCCCCCCCCCAGGAAGCAGCCCGTGACAGCTGACTAACTCCCAGGTATCTATTTACTGCTAGGTAACAGGGCACTTAGGGTGAAAGAAACTTTGCCCATTTGTTTCTGCCTCGTGCGGGAATCGAACCCGCGCCACAGAATTACGAGTCCTGCGCGCTATCCACCAGGCTACGAGGCCCCCTGTACCTGTGTGTGTGTGTGTGGTGTGTGTGTGTGTGTGTGTGTGTGTGTGTGTGTGTGTGTGTGTGTGCGTGTGTGTGTGTGAGATTCCCCATAATCCCCTTCAACCCAACCCCCCACACACAAATAGGTTCCTCGCCTCGCGGCTGAGTAAACAGCCCTTGGGGTTCGTAGTCCTAATGACCCGGGTTCGATTCCCGGCTCCCGTCGGAGGTGGAAACAAATGGGCCGAGTTTTTCACCCTGATACGCTGTTCACCTAGCAGTAAATAGATACCTGGGAGATAGACAGCTGTGTCTAACAGCTGTCTGCAAAAACAGCTGTTAATTTGTGTCTGCAAAATCCAGCTATTTAGGTCTTGAGCCCCGCTCATCTAACGAATCAATTTTGCCTTATTCTATATACTACATATATCTCTCCTCTCTCTCTCTCTCTCATCACCCTCTCTCTCTCTCTCTCATCTCTCTCTCTCTCTTCTCCTCTCTCATCTCTCTCTCTCATCTCTCTCTCTCTCTCTCTCTCTCTCTCTCTCACTCTCTCTCTCTCTCTCTCTCCTCTCCACTCTCTTCTCTCTCTCTCTCTCCTCTCTCCACTCTCACACACTCTCTCACTCCTCGCTTCTCTCTCTCACTCTCTCTCTCACCCTCTCTCTCTCTCTCTCTGCTCTCTCTCTCGTCTCTCTCTCTCTCTCTCTCGCTCCTCTCTCTCTCTCTCTCTCCCCACTCTCTCTCACACAACACACACACACACACACACACACACACACACGCACACACACACAACACCACACACACCACACACACACACACGAAAGTTACCAAGACCAACACAAGGGAAGGAGCCGCCGAGATCACCCTCACCAGATATATAACCCACAACAAAGGTAAAGAATTAGCGACGCGCTGCTGAAATTATAACGAAGTTCGGTATAAAAAGTTAGGCATGAAAAGTTAGTGGGAGGGACAGGAGTCGTGGGAGGGCGGAGGCGTGGGAGGGAGGCGGCGTGGGAGGGGTTGCATGGGAGGATGGAAGGGAAGGCAGAGCATCTCTGGATCATACTGCGAATATGAGGTTAACTTGGTAGTCTGCGAGGGAGAGAGAGAGAGAGGATGATTGGGAGGAGAGGAGAGAGAGACGAGAAGTGAGTTGAGTGAGAGTGAGTGAGTGAGTGAAGTGAGTAGTGCGAGTGAGGAGAGAGTGAGTGCGTGTGAGTGATGTGAGTGAGTGAGTGAGTGAGTGAGTGAGTGAGTGAGTGAGTGAGTGAGTGAGTTAGAGAAGGCATGCCCTCGTGCTCTGAGAACTTCGCCATCTAAGCCAGTTAGGCAGGTTGAACCCCCCCCCCCCCTCCTCGAAGCCACGTCTGGGCTGTGGAAAGTTTCAAACAACTGCATCAAATTTAGGGGGGGGGGGAACCTTTTGTCATACGAAGGCTATATACATTCTACTTAACAAAAATCTTAAAAACCACACATTGTATTCTGCGCTGCATAATGTATTAAATGTACTTAAAAACGAACGTTCAGCAAATAAAACAGTTTCACTAACGAAAGCGCCCCTCCGATGGTCGTATTTACTTATATTAAACAATAATGAATTAGAAATGTAGCATTTTTATCAGAATTAGAGAAAGTGATTTGTTTTATTTGTTTTGCAAATTGTCTTGTTAAAAGGATTTTCGGATTTAAGGTCAGACTGTTAGAGCACAGTAAGTTTTCAACTGAGTTGTATTATAATTGTATTGTTCATTATACAATCATTGACTATTTCACGCTAATTTGAAATTGTTTTCAAACACGTCTGGCGAGTGTCATGCACGGCTACCGAGTGCCATACCCGGCTGCCGAGTGCCATACCCGGCTGCCGAGTGCCATACCCGGCTGCCGAGTGACATACCCGGCTGCCGAGTGCCATACCCGGCTGCCGAGTGCCATACCCGGCTGCCGAGTGCCATACACTGCTACCGAGTGCCATGCACGGCTGCCGAGTGCCATGCACGGCTGCCGAGTGCCATGCACGGCTGCCGAGTGCCATACCCGGCTGCCGAGTGCCATACCCGGCTGCCGAGTGCCATACACTGCTACCGAGTGCCATGCACGGCTGCCGAGTGCCATGCACGGCTGCCGAGTGCCATACCCGGCTGCCGAGTGCCATAGACGGCTGCTACATCCTCGCTGCTCTTTAAACAAATCCAAACCAACTCTGTTCATCATTTTTTTTTTTTGCAGGGATATTCCTGCGCGGGCCCTAAGCCTCTGGCTGGCTCACTAAGTGTTACTGGTTTCTTGTGTCTGTTTTACTTAGGCGGAGTATGAGTATTTATGACTCGTATGTTCGCCTCTGGAAGATTATGCCTCATGTGTTTAATAACTTCTGCTCTGTTGAATCCAAGTTGAAATCTTGTTGGGTGTGTAACTGAGCATTGTGTTGCGGCCCAACCTGGCTACCGACCCTCCCCAGGGTGCTACTCACAATAGGCACATATTTCATAGGTGTACCTATGTCCTGCCAGCCACTTGGATTGGTGGGTACGTCGACGTTCTCGCTTCTTTGTAGGGTGGCGTCAGCTAGAAAAATGATAGGATGGATTACGAAAATTTTCATATCCAGGGATCCCATCACAATGGTTGTACTCTTCAAATCACTTGTGTTGTCCCGTCTTGAGTGCTGCTCAGTGCTCACTTTCCCGATCATAGCAGGAGAGATTGCTGAAATAGAGGGAATGCAGAGAACATATACGGCATACATAGACGCGATAAAGCATCTAAATTATTGGGATCGTCTCAAAGCCCTGCATATGTACTCACTAGAAAAGAGAAGAGAGAGATATCAAATACTATACACATGGAAAATACTGGAGGGCCAGGTCCCAAATTTGCACAGTAAAATAACAACATACTGGAGTGAACGATATGGAAGAAAATGCAGAATAGAACCAGTGAAGAGCAGGGGTGCCATAGGCACAATCAGAGAACACTGTATAAGCATCAGAGGTCCTCGGTTGTTCAACATCCTCCAAGTGAGTGAGCATAAGAAATATTGCCGGAACAACCGTGGACATCTTCAAGAGAAAACTAGATAGTTTTCTTCAAAAAGTGCCGGACCAACCAGGCTGTGGTGGATATGTGGGCCTCCAGGCCGCTGCAAGCAGCAGCCTGGTGGACCAAACTCTCACAAGTCAAGCCTGGTCTCGGGCCGGGCTTGGGGACTAGAACTTCCAGAACCCCATCAAGCAGGTAACAAATAAAGAAAATTAACGTAGCTAATGGAGTATATATTTGCGAAAAACAGTTGAGGAAAATATATCTCCTCTGCTCTAAGGTATTTTGGTAACAATAAAAAAAATTATCACTGACTTGCAGTAAACTTGTGTTATTTTAGTGATCAAAATAATATCGCGAGGTGTTTCAGTGGATCCGAAGCAGCGTTCTGACCAAGTCTGCAATTATTGTTGCATTAGCATGCAAACTACGTGTTGAGGGACCAGTCCGGCAAAATTACCGCCTATTAATATGGCGTCTAATGGTCTCTAATGATTACCGGCAGCAAGGCCACACTTGGCAGTACTGCTCAAATTGGGGGTACGAGCCTGTTGACGCAGTGTTATGGCTTAACCAGGAGCTGCATGTAGATGTGTAAATGCAGAAGTATTTAATCAATTTCTAAAAATCAGAATGTCTCTGTCTGAGGCTGGAGGCCAGATACATGAGGCAAGCATCACCAAGTTTTTAACGGTAATTGCTATTGGGCATGTGCCCAACATGGGTAGGTCAGGATTGACATAAGTGAAACGAACACCAATTGACACAGTGCTAAAGCGACCCCTTAATGACGAATTTTGCATTTTCATATCCGACTCTGAATTAATCTTACTCTATTGTAAAACATATTCCTCCTCCTCCCCGTACCCGGCTGCCTGCTTCTTCCCTAGCTTTGTTGTTGTTCAAGATTCGCTACTTGGAACAAAAAGTTCCAAGTAGCACGGGCTATGGTGAGCCCGTAGTATCTTCCCTAACGTTAACCTGTCATACACACACACACACCCTCGTTACAAACACTTCCACGTGGCCTACCGGCTGGTACGAAGACAGACACAGACGGAACGGCAGACTGAAAAAGGAATGAGTTGATATAGGTAGGTATGACATATATATATATATATATATATATATATATATATATATATATATATATATATATATATATATATACTCCCATTTTTATTGTAATTTCCCACCATTTTTCTGTCACTTGTTTTTGGGTGAAATAATGCCAACTTGAAACAAGCACCGGGTAGGCCTAGGGCCCGTAGTCCTGGGAATCGCCGGTCATGCCATGTAATTAGGGTAGCAGGGAGGCAGAACTAAGGGTGAAGTTGAGATATGAGAATATTAGTTTTTTCAGAGGCGTCACTTCACAGGGGAATCGACCAGCCGGGGTCCTGGAGGGAAAATTTATGTTTTGGCCACAGAGCGGAGAGGAGGAGCCGGGTCAGGGGTCGGATTCATGAAAGCACTTACGCAAGCACTTACGAACCTGTACATCTTTTCTCAATTTTTGGCGGCTTTGTTTACAATTATTAAACAGTTAATGAGCTCCGAAGCACCAGGAGGCTGTTTATAACAATAACAACAGTTGATTGGCAAGTTTTCATGCTTGTAAACTGTTTAATAAATGTAACCAAAGCCGTCAAAGATTGAGGAAAGATGCACACGTTCGTAAGTGCTTTCGTGAATCTGGCCCCAGAACACTAGCGGGAGTCTGGCATCATACTGCAGACGTTATTAATTAGGAAAAGATGGCACCGAGCTCCACAGACGACGTAGCATACTGCAGAAGGGGCAGGGAGGGGAGAGGGGTATAGTACTGCAGACAGTGGGGCAAATTAGATGGATAATTTCAGGGAGGAGACGGGTAATCAGTCACGGGACAGTGGAGGGCGGGTTATAATTATAGTTACAGTAGAGGCCAAATTAGACGGGCTATAGTTACAGTAGAGGCCAAATTAGACGGGCTATAGTTTCAGTGGAGGACGACGATGGCGAATCGATTTATTTTCCCATCAGCCTTCGGGTGAAGACTATGAAGCGAGCGGAAATAGTCCCCGGGCCTTTGATCACACTCGAAATTAGCATTTCAAAATAGAATCGGCCTCCATGGCTCTCCAGTGAAAATTGAAGCTGAATTTAAGCTTTTGGGTGGTTAAGCTGGACTGGATAAGCTCGGAGGAGATAGCTTGGGTGTCAACACTCATCGCAGGGTGAATCTCATCTAAATGCAAATGTATTTCATACTCACCAGGAGCCTGTTTCAGTGATGAGTCTGTCTGTGTGTGTGTGTGTGTGTCACTTATAGAGGAAGGATGTAGCTCCTTTGATTTTCAGGGGTTGGAACAAGGTGTTCCGATGCATTTAATATGATTGATGGTATACACGAGGTATGTACTCGAGGTTTGTATGCAAATAGATCTATACACATACTCATGAAATACTCGAGTACAAGAATATACTTTCAGTATATACGCCACTGTGACTCATATCTCACATCAAACTCTTCATGATAGGTATACTTAGACGCGCTAAGTTTAAAAGTTAACATAATGGCAGAACTTAAATGATCTGGCATTACAGAAGTTAACATGAATTAACTTTGCTAAGAGTAACACTGTTGCACATTGCAACAATAAGGTTGATTTACTAGGAAATTCAATAAGCTCGCTGGTGTTGAACACCGAATTGATACAGTGGAATACAAACATGTTCTTAGTGAACATGCCAGTAGAGAATAAAGGAGTGAATATATTTGCACTTTTCCCTTCTTTCCCCCCCAAATGTCCTTCCTCAACACTTTTCTCACAACCTTCCCTCTCCACACACACACACACACACACACACACGGGGTCTGGTAGCTGAGCGGATAGGGCGCAGGACTCGTAATTCTGTGGCGCGGGTTCGATTCCCGCACCAGGCAGAAACAAATGGACAAAGTTTCTTTCGCCCCTGATGCCCCTGTTACCTAGCAGTAAATAGGTACCTGGGAGTTAGTCAGCTGTTACAGGCTGCTTCCTGCGCGTGTGTGTATGGGGAAAAAAATAAAAAAGTACAAATTAGATAGTAGTTAGTAACAGTTGATTGACAGTTGAGAGGCGGGCCGAAAGAGCAGAGCTCAACCCCCGCAAGCACAACTAGGTTAATACATAAATCCCACAAATCAAGATTAAGGTTATCAATAATTTTAATCACACGCAATAAAAAAATATTTTTTGCATTTCCCGAAGATTTTAGCAACGAAAGAGGACAAAAATTCCAGGCATCATGATGATGAATGGTACATGTCTGTTGGAATGAAAAATGTATAGTGTCCTCTCACGAATATTCATTCCATTAACATTTTTCCACGCAGGCTTATTTGAGCTTCCATTTGAAAGGGTTGATGTTTTGACATTTTTGTTTTCCAAGTCGTGGAAATTGACTGAGGGGAAAACCATGGTATCTTTGGCGCCGTAGAATTCCATTAAGGACTTTTATGTAAGATCTGAAGATTGCCTCGTCAAACAGAAAAACTAAAAAAATATATATAAAAATTGGCGGTAATTAGTAATGGAGTTTCCTTCTAAATGGATTAAACATCCACTTGGGTTGGAGGGTAGAGCGACGGTCTCGCTTCATGCAGGTCGGCGTTCAATCCCCGACTTTCCAAGTGGTTGGGCATCATTCCTTCCTCCGTCCCATCCCAAATCCTTATCCTGACTCCTTCCCAGTGTTATATAGTCGTAATGGCTTGGCGCTTTCCCGCATTTTTTAATATTTTTTATTCTCAATGGATTCTGTCACCTGAGACGTTCTAATACAGTATGTAAGGTATCGTATACTAGGCTAGTATATTCTGCAGTATACCAGGTGTATCTGTGGTATACTTGCTATACCCAAGCGTATACCATGAAAAGATTTAATTTGATTTTACTTGGATAGTTGTGAAATTGATTTAATATTTAGAGTTTTAGATAAAGAGAATAGTTGATTTTTCTATTAAGTTACGAAAGACTGTGTAAAAAACTTTGGACTTACGAAAGCAAGTTAATAATCACGGTTCATTTTGATAACGAGTAGTAAGTAAAATCTAGTTTGCTTGACATTAGGTTATTTGCATTTTTTTATGCGTGTGTGTGGTAGGTTAAAGTTGATGTTGGTAATTTGTTCAAAGTCAGAATTTGCTGCATGAAACCACATTATAGGAATATTTTAAGCTTTAGGACAGTAAGTCACAATACCCCTGGCTGAAAATTCGTCTGAAAATTCGTCTGAAAATTCGTCCCACACGTCTGAATATAAGGAAGGTTCTGAAAGGTTTCAATGGGTGCTTAGTCTCCCCCGTCTGGTATAAATAGTTCGAAGCGTGGCATTGGTTTCATTTTATATGACAAGTAAAGGGACGATTCTATATACGCAGGATTTGACGCAAGAGAGGGGAGGAGGGGGATAGTTTTGGCTAATTAGAGGCTGGGTTTGGTGAAGCAAAGGAAGGTGGAGCATTCAGTTGGTTGACTCTAATGAATATAAGATATTCTACTCTATATTGTACTCTATGACGCATTCTATGACGTTCTATGACGCATTCTATGACGCATTCTACGACGGGAGTTGTTCTACTCCCCGGCCTCGAGACCAACCTATTAAGTATTCAGTCTATCGTGGTGGAATATGTTAGA